TATATTCTTTCTCCTATACATTCAGTTTATTCTGTTAATTTGGTTATTCTCTATTTCATGTGTCTGTGGTCAAGATATTGTCCTTAAGTGGATTCAGAAGGCACAGTTTTGTGCAAATAATAAGAATAGAATAGAAGAGAAGAGAAGAGAATAGAAGAGAAGAGAAGAGAAGAGTTGGAAGGAACCTTGGAGGTCATCTAGTCAAACCCCCTGCTCAGGCAGGAAACTAGAAACTACATTCTATAGTATGTTACGTTATTAGCCAAATTCTTGCTGATGTTAGGATAATAATAATAATAATAGTAAAGTTGGAAGGGACTTTGAAGGTCATTTAGTCCAACCCCCTGCTCAGGCAGGAAAACCTATACCATTTTGGAGAAATGGCTGTCCAGTCTCTTCTTAAAAACTTCCAGTGTTGGAGCATTCACCACTTCTGGAGGCAGGTTGTTCCACTGGTTAATTGTTCTAACTGTCAGAAAATTTATCCTTAGTTCTAGGTTGCTTCTCTCATTGGTTAGTTTCCATCCATTGCTTCTTGTCCTGCCTTCAGATGCTTTGGAGAATAGGTTGACTCCCTCTTCTTTGTGGCAGCCCCTGAGATATTGGAACACTGCTATCATGTCACCTCTCGTCCTTCACTTCATTAAACTAGACATACCCAATTCCAGCAACCATTCTTTATATGTTTTAGCCTCCAGTCCCCTGATCATCTTTGTTACTCTTCTCTGCACTCTTTCTAGAGTCACATCTTTTTTACATAATTAACCAGTTCATGTTATCTTATCTCATGCATTGACTTTCCTATTCCTATGCTTTATAGTTTTCTAAAATTAGTGTCATGTGGATGCTTCATACAATATTAGTTTTTCTGTTTATTATTAGAAACATCCTACAGGTAGTCCTCCTTGAATGATCACAATTGGGAGCAGCAATTTGGTTATTAAGCAAAGTGGTTGCTAAGTAAAACTGCTATTGTGCTTACAATCATATCTCAGCTTTCCTTTGCTTTAGAGACCTGAGAAGATTATAAATGTGAAGTTTGGTCACAAAGTTACTGTTTCATCAACCCTTTAACTGCAAATAGTCACTGTAGAAGATAGTTGCTAAATGAGTTTACTTGTAATATGGCAGCAGCAGCTGTTTAGAATCCAAAGCTGAACTAGAGAAACTGTTTTTGATATGTATTTTCTTTTAATAGAGGAAAAGACAGATGCAAGACTTTGATTATTTGATCCAGACAACAATGTACTCTGATCAATAAACCTACAAAATGCAGTAGCACACTTTGAGACAATCACATAAAATTTACAGACATATGCCAAGGTCTGTTTAGAACTTCTTTTGTTTAACTGTTCTTTAAAACAGTTTAATAAAAATGTCCATAAAATAATGGAATTCTTAATTTTCTTCTGAAAGCCGGTGTTCACAGAAATTGTTTATTGGTAGTTTTTTAAACATAGGCATGCTTTGGTTAAACAACATTCCATCAGGACCAGAGAGCATTATGTACCAACATTGTCCATCAGTCACTGAAATATTCTACAAGCCATGAGGATCAGTATAAACAGGAAAAAGTTACATCAGATACCACAGAGTAGCTTATTTAGCATAAAGTGAAACTAATAGAAGTACTGATATTTAGGAGAAAATGATACTGTATATTAATGAATCCAGTGCATAAGGAACACAGAGATGCTTATTTTTGTGGGAGATTATGGAATACTAGGAAAGAAATGGAAGATAATGTGGACCTTAATAACCAGAAGATAGCAAGTGAGTAAATTAATGGTTTATTTAGATACATGGCAATATATTCCAAGTGGAAAGAAAACTTGGAAGAAGCATTTCAGTCATTCAGAGAGACTCTACCTTAGTTAACCCACTATATATTAGGAAGAGAAAGTTTTACAATTTCTGATTACTTCTAGAACTAGCATTAAAATATCTAATTGATCCTTGATCTTGCATCCTTGATCTTGTCCAGTGAACAGTGTGTTGTCAGGATTACATTTGTAAAACAATCATTAACAATTGATTTCTATAATCCATAATCCACATAATGGTTTTAGTTGATTTCCTCTTTTCCCAAAATATCCTCTTTTGCAAATATTGAATTAATACAATTCTTATTGTTATGATAGATAACAATTAAATATATAATTTTTTCCCAATATTCCTAAAAATAATAATCACATCAATATAATATTTCTTTTCTATCCAATCATTCTGGTTGCCTTATCATAGATCCCGTTACAGTCCTTATTTTAATTTGTTTCTCCCACCAAATTCTAGGTATTCTTACTGGTTAAGATTTTCTCAAAAATTAATTACATTTAAAAATGTAACTCTATTTTTCCATATGAACCATCTCACACTTTTACATTTCTTAAGGAACAGATAAAACAATGAAAAAAAAATAAAGGAGAGCAAGAGTAAAGAAACATAAAAAATAACATACTACTTAAAATATATATATCCCTCCTAAGCTAATATATATTTATTTCCTAAATTTCTTATTCTTTTTAACCATAATTAAAATATGTTTAATCTTTAAACATTCCATTTAATACATCTAGTCATCTAGTCCTTTAACTCTTATTCAAAACTTTTTTATCCATTATAATTTTCTTAAATTCAATCACATTTAAGTATCTAAAACATTTCCTTTATTTAAGTCATTTCAACTTTTTTATATTACTCATATCAAGAAAGAGAACAAGAAAGGGAAAAAAGCATACTATATTATTTAGGGAATTCATCCCTCTTAGAATGACATATGTATTCCAAAACTTTTCTATTTTTTTAACATTCAAACGAATGTTTCTTTTTTAAATATTTTCTGTGGTAAGTCCCATCATCTATTTTTTTGGTTTCCACTTTAATCTTTTTCCTTTGCCCAGTATCTTTCTTAATCAATGTATTTTGCTGAATCAAAAAGGTTTTCCGTATGTTCGTAAATGTTGGTGTAGATATAAAAAGTAAATCAGGTGAAGTGTCTTTGTACGGAGCTTCTGCCTTTCCACCTTTGTTGAAAATCTTTTTCTTTCTCTCCGCTTCTCTTATCATTTCCTTTCTCTCCAATGTTCCTGACATCTCTACAGTCCATTTTATCCAATCTATTTTCTTGTCCTCAGATTTATTTTGTAGTCTTAAGGAATAAGTTGTTTTTTCCAATTCTTGTGAATTTTTTCCCACTAGCATTAAATCATGTTTCCTTGTTTTGTTAAGTTCCATTTTTAAGTCTGTATTCTAAATTCTATATCCATTTATCTGTTTTATCTGCTCCTTCTCTGTTGTTGTTTTCTGGAAAAATTTTTGTTGTAAAGTTAACTTAGAAATAGATTGATTTATATTTTCATAGTTATTTTGGATTTCTTTGTGGTTTAAAGTCATCGTTGTTTGAATTAGTTGCAGTATACTATATATCTCCTCCTTTGAAGTATTTATGTTTTCTTGATATATTCTTTCTACATGTCTCTGATCCATGATGGCCAAGAATTTGAATTTTACTTTTCCTTTCTTTTCTCTGCAAATAGCTTTAGAGTCCCAATTAAATAGATATTTGTAATCCAAATAGTTCAGAAAAGATTTTCATATGATCTTGATTCTATCCCTCTGTTAATGCAGCCTAGCACTGTGTTAGCTTTTTTGGCAACTGCAGACACTGCTGGCTTATATTTAAGTGATTTTCCACTAGGATTCCGAGATCCCTCTCACAGTTTACTACTATTGAGCAAGGTACCACCTATACTGTACCTGTGCATTCGGGGTTTTTTGCCTAAATGTAGAACCTTGCTTTTTTCGCCATTGAATTTCATTTTGTTAGATAGCACCCAATGTTCAAGTCTGTCAAGATCCTTCTGTATCTTAAGCCTATGTTCTAGAGTGTTGCTGCCAGTTTGGTGTCATCTGCAAATTTGATGGATTCCCTACCTATCCCCTCATCCAAATCATTGATGAAGATGTTGAAGACTACTGGGCCTAAAACAAACCTTGGGATACCCCACTGTCTACTTCCCTCCATGTAGATGCAGTTCCATTGAGGACTACAGGCTGAGTATGGCCGGTCAGCCAGCTACAAATCCATCTGCTGGCGATGCACTTAATGTTCTCTAAATTTGAATATATTTAGAATATCATTTGTTATGGATATATTTTGCCAGGAAACTTCAGGGAAATGTTTTCTTTTTTGTTAAGAAATACTGATATTTTAAATTTATATTATGCTTTTTCTCCAGTACTTTAGTCCCTTCCAACTTTATTATTATTATTATTATTATTATTATTATTATTATTATTATTATTATTATTATTATTATTATTATTATTATGTATGACTCTGTACAGTAATTTTTCTCTACATAATAAATACCTAGTAAAGTTACAATAATAGACAAAGGCTGGCCCAAAGTCACATGGTTGGTTTCTGTTGGATTAGAACCTGGGTCTCCGTGGTCCTAGTCCAATACCCAACAGATATTACATTGCAATAATATGGAAATTTTCTATTATTGCCCATTTTCTTGCTACTGAAATCTGTGGTTTCATGAAACCGAGTTTCAGTAGCCACCAAAATTTTAAAAAAGAATTTGTTTTCAAAATTCATTCTAGCTATATAGCACCATCTAATGCTTATTATAAGACAAAGATTTAAGAAAACCAGGTAAGTATGGACTAGTGAAGAATTCAGGTAGTGTAGCTCCTGAATTTATTGAACTTTGCATCTATTTGTTCTGTATCATAAGCAAAAACATCTGAAGTATGGATTGATGATTTTAGTGTTTGACATGTTGGTTTCTTCCACAAAACCCTAATATAGGACACAAATTTAGTCAGTACTGTATGTCTGGTACATTAGAAATTCAGTCATTAGAAGGTGCTGAAGGTTACAGATGGATATAACAGCAGGAAAACCTTGTGAAAGTCTATTATGATATTTCCTTATTCATTTATGTACTTTGTTATCTGCTCCACATCTGTCTGCTACTTTTCTCTGACAGGTAAGCTGCAAAGTGCTTCAGTTTTTTCACCAATATACAATGGGCTGTAACTACTTCTGGATGCTTTGTGAAGGAATATATCTTCATACACTGATTGTGGTGGCAGTATTTGCTGAAGAACAGCGCTTGCATTGGTATTACCTCCTGGGCTGGGGTATGTGGTCTTCCATCCAGTTGTTAAAATATTTCCTTTTGTCACAGAGTTTTTAAAGTAATTGGCACTTTGACTCATAGAATATCCACAGAAAAAGATAACTCTTATAAGTTATTATGCAAAAAATGTATAGTATCTTTGTACAAATGAATGAGAGCCAATATGGCAGATTGAGCAGTATGGTGGCTAAGATGCTAACACTAGACAGACACACATGAAAGTCAGTTGGATGATTTTGGGATTTGTGTTTATATAGTCTCCATTCACAAATGAGTCCATTTACAATTACTAGTTTTCAGGACCACTCCTATCATTAGACAGTATAAAGCAAATGGTTAATTTAATTATTATTTTACTTTTCCTGCCAAGGGGAGTCTAGTAGATGTTTTGGCTTCAGATGTCAAAGAAATTTGACTGGCCTTAGGATTACTTGACCTTTGGTTTGAGTGATTGAGGAGCATCACACTTAATACATTAGCCATTGTTGTACACTGTACTTATCTCATCATTAAAAGCTAAGAGATAGTTGGTGGTCAGCTTGCACAGTTGCTTTTTTTGTGAGAATATATTTCTGGGGGTGACCTTTAGCTCTTTTAAGATGTGTAGGTGGAAAACAAAATCCATACAAACAGGATAACAGCTTTTAAAGTTGCCTCAGTGATCTGCTCCAGCTCTGGAGTCCAAGTCAAGGTGAATTTGATAGCTCATATTTATTTCAAGAAATGTATCTCAACCAACCCTAGAAGCTTTATCATATAAAATGTTGTTTAGTCCATTTTTTATTTCTTCAAATATAATTTAACAGTGATTTGCCAAGACAATGTTAAAGCAAAATGCATGGTAAAAATGTTTATGATATCAGTCTTAATTCCACAACAATTTCCATCAGTGCTCACATCTCTTAAACAGATAAAGCTTGTTCATCTTCAGTAACAGCCTTTTGAAAAGGAGATGTTTGAAACACTGAAGATAGTGCTTAAGCTTTCTTCATAAACTATGGGAATTTGCATTCAAATTTCCTCCAGCTTGTAAAGAACATTGAGTTGCATAAAAATACATTAAAAGGGAATTGTTGTTGAGTGGCAAATCATTTATATGCCCACAGGAGACCCATAGGTCAATCTCTTGACTTACCCAGTTAAGGCTAATTCAACAGTTAGATAAGTGCCACTGTCAGTTGGAATGGATCTGAGTCTATCTCACAGTAGCCACCAGGCTCACTGCCTTATTTGACTCTTTCAGTTTTTCATGATAGCTTTAAAACAGCTATCAGCTGATTTAAATCTGATTGAAACCAAGGTTAAGAATTGGAGGTCACCATTCAAATCCCTATCTAGTTATGCAATTCATTTTTATTGTTGTTGTTATTGTGGTCAATTAACATGTCTGTTTAACTTTTCACTAATACATAACTTTGGCTAACTTGGCTAGTGAAACAATGGCAGGATATAAATGTATGTAGAACAATCCAGATTGAGACTGCATGCTAGAACAAGCTAATTCTCACAGTAGCAGCAGTCTGAAAATGGAACCAATTACTAAGTTCCTCCTCACTGAATCTGTCAGGTAGAAATTGGATGATCTTCTGCTGGGAATAGTTTGACTGAATACATGCAGGATATTAGTTTAAACTTTCCTTTCCAACCCTGTGTCTCTATGAAATACCTATACAGACCTATGCATGCCCATAATCGAATCCAAAATAATAATAAATCTGATATATATAATTTATTATTCTAGGTTTTCCTTTGGTGCCAGCATCAATTCATGCTGTAGCCAGAGCCAGATATTTCAATGATAAGTAAGTATTGTGCTACTTTACAGAAAGCTTAATTAGTATCTGTTAATATATGTATAATTTCATTATTTAATTTATTTATTTTCTTCCAGATGCTGAATTAATGTTGACACATATTTAAAGCTTAATTGGTTAATATAATATATATATATATATAAGTTTAATTAGATAATATATATAATTTCATTATTTAATTTATTTATTTTCTTCCAGCTGTTGGATTAGTGTTGACACATATTTGCTGTACATTGTTCATGGGCCTGTAATGGCAGCTTTATTGGTGAGAATATTATTTGCTACTTTATTGTGAGTTCAGCACTATTCTAATTCTGCTACACTTCATTGTTCTTACTGAGATGTTTTATCCCACGTTTCAGCACAGAATTCAGGACACCTAATGTTTTATAAAAATAATCACCCAATTCCATGGTTCCTTGTGTCCTTAGGACTTCTGAACCATTATCTTGACCTGAAGCAGATTTTTTTCTTCATGGCTAGAGAAGCAACTTGGATGCTAGAAATCTATCAATAACATGGCATGATAGTCCAATGTTTGGAATTTAAAATGAGTGGGGATTTTTCTGAGTAGTTGGGATCTGCCTGGAGGCTACAGCATATAAGGAAAGGCTGCTGGAATGGGGTATGTCTAGTTTAATGAAGAGAAGGACGAGGGGGGACATGATAGCAATGTTCCAATATCTCAGGGGCTGCCACAAAGAAGAGGGAGTCAAGCTATTCTCCAAAGCGCCTGAAAGCAGGACAAGGAGCAACGGGTGGAAAA